TCAAACAGAGAAACATAAGAAGGGTGTAAAAAACACTTTACTTTTGTCATTTAGAATCTATTGAATCCTAACCTTAAAAACTGACAAAAGTTTTAATTGCAAAGGTTTGGAATGATTTGTTTTTGTTGACGTCTGATAGAAATGATCAAGAGAACGGATTTTCACAGGTACTGAATCCTCTCTTGGAGGTTCTGAGTGCCCCACTTGAAAAATATTTAGCAATCCGTGGTATTTATCTGTGTTAATTCTTAAATAATCGACCTCTCCTGATACGAAGCTAGACTTGAAAAAGATTCGGTGAATCTTTACATTATGGTAACTTGGCGATTTTTTGGCGAAACTTTGGCAACCAACCCTGCTACTGCAACCTGCTAGTTTTAATTTCTGGACGCCATTTTGTTTTCACGAAGTAAAGGCAACCTGCTAGTTTTTTTTTTTTTTTTTTTTTTTTTTTTTTTGGACGCCATTTGTTTTTTTTTTTTTCACGAAGTAAAAGGCAGTTTTTTTTTTTTTTTCTCAACATTTTTTTCCAACAATCTGCTAGCCGAATTACGCTTATGCTAGAACTTTTATGGAACAAAAGTGCTTAATCATGACGAAGATTAGGTGCAAAATTGGTAGAAAGTGTAGAATCGTCCACTGCTTGCCGTGTTTTTAAGAATTGCATATACACGGTATCCATCTACACGCCGACCTATTTTCACTTAAAAACACATCTCAGAATTGCACAAAAATGGCATTGCGCACACTCTTGACTTTATTCATGTACACATCGACCTATTTTCACTTAAAAAGTCAAAGAAAATTGACAAAAATCCAATTCTTCTTACTCTTGTAAAAAGCGCCAAACAAATAAGTGGACGAATCTGCGCTTTAGCGGCGAAATTATTTCTAAGTGCTTATTAACTAAAATCCCCATTAGAATTTTCCGGAAAATGTCACATTACATGTCTCATGATCTCTCATTTCTCTGAGACAAAATAATCTGTGATTCGAACTGTGTACTTCTTCTTCTTTTACTGCTAAAGTCCTAGTTAGTAACCTTTATCGCCTTACCGAAATGTCGCCAAACTACCTGTTACCATATTCTAAAGATTAGCCAAAGATTTAAAAAAATATAATAATTTAAAATCGTTACTCAATTTTTTTTTTTTTTTTTTTTATCAAATGAAATTATGTTAAGAAAATGTACACTCAGCACCAAAGAAAAGGGGGTGACTGAAAAAAATGACTGAATTTTTTAAACACTGCTATTAACTGTACACTGCAGGAAAAAAAAAGGGGGGCAATGCTATATCTTCCGTTCTACCGGGCCGATTGGCGAAATTATACTTGTTTTTCATGAGTCGAAAGCAAGACGTAAGATATATATCAGATTTATATATAGCATTGCTCTAACATAGGTATTTTGACACAAAATTGGATTTTTTTCTGAGACGACATGCCGATTGTTTTCCATATTTCGCTTCTACGACTCAAATGTTGCCTCCTGTAAATGTAGGCATGTTACGAAGTTTTATGTTGCATACGTACAGGTATCATAAATACTATATATTTCTAATCACAGTACAATGTTCGAAATGAACAGCAGAATCTAACGTCAAACTTGTTAAGTATTTAACATAGTTTAACGAAAAGTAAACTAATACTGAGGTTAAGAAATTACATTTGGCTTTTCGCATCCTCATTTGTATGCAAAACTGGATTAAAATATAGCTTAATTTAAATGAAATTAAAAATTGTACGGTTTCTTTTATTACTGGAAGCTAAAGTCTTGAAGATCCTTCAAGACAAATAGCTAGTTACCTGTATGTCTTACTTAAACAACTGATCGAAACAGGCATTAAATTAAAATTTTGATAACGTAGTGCGAGACTACATATTTAAACAGGCTAAAAATGAGCTGGCTCATAATATTCTACCGGCATGTATTTAAAACATCGGCTAGCAAGAATGCTAAAGCCGGAATATAACTTTTAAGCAAAGCTGACGTAAAATGCTAACAACAAGGCGTGATTGCCAAAAGCTTTTGTCTAATGAACTAAAACCCTCAGCTTAAATGCATAACTTAATTTGGCTTCTGGTGAGGATTACGGAAAGGAGAAATAACTGTGGTGTTATAATAATTAGTTACCACAAGATAATTTGCAAAATAATCAAAATTCAATGATTTTAATAATTTAATTGCTACAAAATTCTAAGTCTATTTTATGGTTTTATGGTATTATTTTTTATTCTAAGTCTATTTTATGGTTTATGGTATTATTCTAAGTCTATTTTATTGTTTATGGTATTATTCTAAGTCTATTTTATGGTTTATGGTATTATTCTAAGTCTATTTCATAGTTATTAGTCCAAAGGGATTTGAATCCCGAAGGACTATTAGTTTCGTTTTGGCATTTTGCGTCGGACTCATAAATGTCGGTTCACTTTTCAAACTGTTGCCACAAAATGTTAGAGTCCTGCATTATATTTGAAGAAATTAAATAATGAAAAATCTGCATAAATGTATGTATATTTCTCGTATTGTGATAAAACAACGGTACATAGAGTCATCGAATTTTGAATAACGTAATCCTCCAACGAATATGAGCATGTGGAAACCAAATTTGAAATTTTATGATCATTTCCTTTTTTAACTTGACGAATTTTGATTAACAAACTCAAGGATTTCAAAGCGAGCAATGGCGACGTTGTGCAGAAAAAACATTTTTATCTCCAGCGCGTGAGTCTCTGTATCGGAAATTCTAAAATATGCTCGTTTTAAAACTTATTTGCGATATTGCTGTTTGCACTGGATCTTATTGGGAAGAGTGCGAGGACATGATATTTAATAAAGAAAGGTAACACAAAATGTTAAAAACGCCCCTTGGACGTAATTTAAAATCTGAAACATTTCAGATTTTTTTTTTTTTTTTTTTTTTTTAAATTTTTTTTGTAAATGGTGTTGTTATTGTGACTGTTAAGAAGCCCGGAGCTCCTTTTATTAAAAATGTCCTTGTGTTATCGTTCATTGTTCGAAAATTAGAATAAAGTTTCCACTCGCTGGAGATCGAGCTGGCAATCACCAGTGCTTAATTACATTGTGCCTTTCTCAAAGTTTGCTGAAAAGGGAAAAGGTAGCAGTATGTAGCAACCGGTCGAATTTTTTTATGCGCCACCCCCCCCCCACAGTGGGCATATGAAATTTAGCATATGAAAATAATTTCAGATTTTTACTATAATTTTACTTTTTTACCGCCCAACGTATCTAATGTCCGATCCCAACCTGATTTTTTTGAAAATTATTGCGAAACGTAAATGAAAGTATATTTCAATTGCTGTATTTACTCGTGTATTTTTCCTCTTCGTATTTTTTTCCTTTAGCTTTTAGCGATAGGTTCTGAATTTTTTAAAAAAAATATTCACGTAGTTTTCCCCTTTCTAAAGATGTTCAGAACACGGTCTCCCACAAATTTTAAAATAGTAAATTTGTCCGCGTAGTTGTTGTTTTCGTCTTGCTTATTTATTGATTAGTTCGTGCATGGATGCATTTTTGGATGCATGGGCCCTGAATAATGGAGGACTTCAAAAAAACAGTCATAAATAATAGTCTTGATGGTTTTGAAAATCATTGCACGAGAGAAGACATGCTAAACTTTAATGAAGACGATGACAACGGCCACCCATGTATCTTATAAGAAATAGACCAACCCAAATGGGCTTTCTCCTTCGTCTGACACCTTCCCGGCTGTCACCTTGATCACATCCGGAGGAGTAGGGACGACTTGCAGAAATTTAACAGTGGTTGCCTATTGCAGCGTGTGTAATTGTCAAGAAAAAGTTGGTTGTAGCGCCTCATTTCACAAATTAGAATCTCTACATATTTTTATTTTTGAAACTGAGATTGATTTATAACAATTTGGCATATTTATCATATCAAGCATAATTAGCGTTCCAAATAATTATAAAGCTATTGCATGCTTTCAGGGCTGGATATTTTTTAGCTTTTCCTGTGCTGTAAGGAAATTTGTAACTACTTCGTTTAGAAAGTAATATTTTAAATCTGAACTAATAGAAAATTTCAAACAAGCAATTTTCTCTTACAATTTTTATGCTTTTTATTGGTGCAAAAAAAAAGTAAAAAATACTAAATATTTAAAAACGAATGTTTGAAAGTTTTGTTTAAAATTCTAAATTGTGCTGCTTTTTTTAAAATTATAGATGAGTATTATAGCACAATTTCTCTAAAGGAATTTTATTTCAATTATATTTCATAATACATCATAGTGATAAACACTTTTGACATTTTAATTTTTATACATTTAATTCTCGGATTAATATTGTTTTAGAGTTTATATATCCTTCACTTACTTTGAGCTCGGTTTATCTGAGACCAGCATATATATTTACATTGTATTTGTGTGTATTATGTATGCAATGTACGGATATATGTCCCAATCCGTATATTTAATCATATTTCTTCTAAACCAAGCCCATACTTCTAATTACAAAATGCGTTTCGTTTTATCTGAACATTACGTGGTAAGTTGGTCGCGAAATTTAGTTGAGTCAGCTTATGTGGTGTGGTGTGGTGTATTTAATTATGGCAAAGCACACTAGGGCTATCTGCCTAAGAGGAGGGATGCCTTTGTGGAGGACTTTGTAAGGGAAACTAGCTCGTATACACGTTACACATGGGGAAAACCACGACAACGCCCATGCAGCTAGCCCGTTCGCGGGATTCGAACCTCGGACCGAACTACCAGTGTTCAGCGACTTTACCGCTCGGCCGCTGGTGGGCTGAGTCAGCTTATGAATAATATAGCAATTTCTATGCACAATAGTAATGCTCGGTGTATTTAATTGCCGATTGCGATGTTTATAATAGAAAATGATTTAATTGCCATTTGCAAATAATTTTCTCAAGTTTTGTTTGTAAAGCTCTCTTCTGAATGAAAACAATTTCTTAATTAATTTTTCCATCTGACGAAATCTAAAAGATTTTTCTTGCTTTACAGAAACCTCGTTACAGAACAGTTTCGTCCATTCGTGATCTACCAGAATGACTGCCGAACTTGAAGAACAGGAGAAGAAGAGTGAGAAAGAATTGGAAGTGGAAAAAATATCTCCTAAGGATGAGTCAGCTCCTCAGAATGGGGGAGGGGATCTCAAAAAAACTGACCAAGAAGATGAAAAAGCTCCTGAAGAAGAGAAAACAGCTGAAACAGACGGAGAAGGCCAGCAACAGGAGGAGGATGTGGTGGCAGTAGCTCCTCGACGAAGGGCACCTCGTTTCTGGGAAAGGTAACAATTTTTGTATTCAAAACATGTGCTTGAAGCTGGTAGATTACGAACTTATATTACAAACTTTGATATTATCTGTAGATACCTAGACTCTGTGAATATCAATTGATTCAAATTTTTAAAAAAATTCTGTTAACGATCACGTTTAGGTAATTTTTTAGTTATTAAATGACATTCGTGTAAGGAATTTGTTAAATGTTAGTTTCACGCTACATTTCTAAGCTGCGCCCATGCTTCTGGCTCTTCTAGTTCATTATATCTACATAAATAAAGAAGAGTGTCCGTGTTTTCTTTATACAAGTCTGCAGTTTTGTTCGGATGATGAAATTTGGCACACTTGACTTTCTACACCAGAGGAAGATGACTGTCCTCATAAGATTTCCCAAACACCACCCAGCTGGGTGCCTTCTCTTTATATGCATGTACACAAGTGTGCAAAACTTTTCTGATTTCCCAAACACCACCCAGCAGGGTGCCTTTGGAAGGATCCTAAGTTTTACTAACGTTTATTTTATTTTAAAACTGTACTATCACTTCTTATTTTCTACTTCCGGCCAGAATTAAATGCTTTAACTTGTTTGTGCAAATTGTCTTGCTAACGCCCAAGTACTTAAGTTGTGGCTTTTTGCCAAGCGGGAGAGAGAAGGAGATTTAGGAAGCAAGCCGCTTGCCACTGCAGTTTTACGAGTTTTCTCTCGGTTGCTGGTTGCCTTTAAGGCCAGAGGCTTAGTCCTTTTGATATTTGCAAACGTATTGTTGTTTCAGCAGCTCGGCGTACTACATAAATAACCCTTTTTAAATAAAGGGCAGTCTTAGTGGCTAGGCATTTGTATACTCATTCAAGTTAGCTTTTAGTTAGAGTTAGTAGTTTTATATTCTTACGTTCAGACCACAAGTGTGTGGTCTCTGTATTCCGAAGTTCGGAAGTGCCTGTAAAATATTGAGAATAAAGGGTTTCGTATAACCTTCTTATTGTGTCGTCTGTTATACACAAATTTTGAACATAGCTTGAGTAAGCTCCCTGTTCTTATTCAGGGCATACCATGTTTCCAAAGCAAATCAAGAGAAACACAAGTCCTGACACCTTCTCTTTATATGGATGCACACAAGTGTGCAAAACTTAAGCAGTTTTTCTTCCGCAATTGCTCAAAAATCAACTGACAGACATGAAATTCACACTGCTAAGGCCAAAAAGCAGCAAAAAAAGTTAAAGGATGAGGAAAGTATAGTAGGATAAAAATTGGTTTGGTTTATTAGATTACGGCAAAGCACTCGAGGGCTATCTGCCTTAAGGGAGGGATGCCTTCGTGGAGGACTTTTTAAGGGAAACTGGCTCGTATATACGTTACACATGGGGAAAACCACGAAAACGCCCATGCAGCCAGCCCGTTCGCGGGATTCGAACCTCGGACCGAACTACCAGTGTTCAGCGACGTTACCGCTCGGCCGCTGGTGGGCCCGGATAAAAATTGAATAGGACGCATATAAAACGAAACGAATCGAAAAAGGCTTTATTGATAGAAGGCTTTGATACAAGAAAATGTCTAGCTAAGAGGGACAACAACCCAAAGAGCCTTAGTAAGGGCTATGGCCACCCCTAACTGCAATGGTTGCGTTGCATCATTTGTCGATACTCAGCCCAGATTATTTAACAATTCTTGGAGTAAAAGATCCCACTATTCAAGGAGCATCTGTTTCAGTCTCCTTAAAGTATCCCATCTATGTTCGATGGAATTTAAGTCAGCGATGCACGCTAGCCAATGCATTTTGCGGAAATCTTCACTTTCCAGGAGCTCCTCAACGACATGAGCCCTATGTGGCCGTGCATTGCCATCCGTAGAAATAAAGTCAGTATCAATGGCAACTCTGAAAAGACGCCTATGGCGGAGCATAACTTCATTACAGTAATGATCTCCGGTAAGTCATCCTCTGTCGAAAACGCTGAGCTCCAATCGTCTGTTCATCATAATGCCAAGCCATGCAAGCACGCCAGGACCACCCCAATGGTCTCTTTCCCTGATGTTAGTGGGATGAAAGCATGTCTTTACAACTTTCCATATCCGCTAGCATAGAGTATTGTTTGGAAGACTGAAATCACTCTCATCGGTAAAAAGGACGTGACTTTATTGATGAGGCATCCAGTCGTGCCGCCGATGGGCTGCTGTCAGGGATAGGCGGCAAGTGATAAAAGACCAAAATTAAATTAAATATGATGGGAGGGGAATGATAATTAGCAGTAGGAAATAAATAATAATTGCAGTGAACATAAATATAAAAAATTAAGTCAAATACATGAGTACTACAAGAAGTTTAAAGCATTGGTTTCGAACTTCCGACCCGTTGGTCCGCTGTTCTGTGTTTTGACCTTGGGTTAGAATTGTCGTAGACAAAGTGACGAAGAAATTAAGTTAAGTGAAGGATAAAAGGGCAAACAGAAATATGAAATAACGCATCTTGCTCATGTAACCGTATTAGAACTAATTCAACCTGATATTATGCATAATTAATTATTTATGTATGATTAAATATAATGAGAAGTTTGTCAGTTTAACGACTAACATGCCTATGGAAGGTATTAGAAAGTACCTAATGACTGTTATTGTATATCAGCCAAAAAACAAAGCTTAGCAAAATGAATTCAGTATTTCTAGATTGAAAAGTAAATTTTACTCATTTTCGAGAAGTTTTGTTTTTGTTCTATGCTTCCATCACCTAATTTAACTATTCATCTTTAAAGATAAAATTTCAGGAAAGCAATAACGTTCTGTGAATACTGAGTATAATTAATCGAGAATTTTTTGTTGGTAAATGTGCTTAAATAATATTAAAATTGAAATTTCCTTGTTATAAATATCAGTTTTTTGTTTTAATTACCAAAAATATTCACGTGAAAGCTGTATTTTTGAGGCTCTTATTTATTCAATTTCTTACAGATTGTTTCAAAGGCGGCAAAACACAGCAAAGCAAGATGCTGAAGCAGGAACGGAACTTCTCTCTAAAGATGGCAAAGCTGAAATTAAAAGTGAAGAAGATGTTAAAAATGAAAAGAATGACAGCGGAACTGATGTTACTGTCCCTATCACAGATGACAATGAAGCAGGTGGGGAAGATGCCAAGGCTTCCAAGGAAGAACAAAAACGCACATATTGGAAACGGGTTGTCATCAGCCTTGTCTGCATAACAATTGCTCTGATTGTGGTCAGCATTGTTTCAATCTTTACTAGCTCCGGACATACTTCTAGAGGACCACTTGGTAAACCACTGGCTATCACAGATTGTGGTCCCGTGAAAGGATATAAAGAAGATAATATTTACGTTTTTAAGGGCATCCCTTATGCTCTCCCTCCTATTGGTGAATTGAGGTGGAAACCCCCCATGCAGGCTTCCAGTTTCAATGAATGTTGGACAGGTACCTTGGAGGCTTTTAATTCTAGTGTCCTTTGCTATCAAAAACCTATACCTGGCTATGAAGTGGAAATGAGCGAGGATTGCCTTTATTTGGACATCATTACCCCAAGTCTCTCTCCTCCTGTTCTAAGACCTGTTGTCGTTTACATTCCAGGAGATTATCCCCTCAAAGGCTACACTGCAACAGACATAAAATGGAGACCCACTACATCAATTGCTGATTCAAAGGATGTCACATTCGTCACTATCAATTATCGTACCAATGTTTTCGGGTTCATGACTTTGGACTTGCTTGCTAATCGAATAAGACCACCAACTTCTGGTAATTATGGTATCATGGATATGTTAACAGCTTTAAGATGGGTACAGAGGAATATAAGAAATTTTGGAGGCGATCCCGAAAAGGTAAGACAGACAACTGAAATAAAGTTCTTAGTTCCTATTTATTACCGAGTTTCTGTTAATGTTGCACTGAGTTACTATTCTTACTGGATGATATTCTTATATGTTATAATTTAGCCTATGTTGTAATTCATATTTATTGCGTCATCTTTTAAACACGCGCTCAGTTAATATGTCAAAACAACTGGTGAGTGGCGTGTGGGTAAATGGAAAGGTCACATCTATGATGTCATATTCCGATGATCTTTTCTGAATTTAGCAGAAGAAAGTCTTATCTTCTATAAAGTTCTTTTGGAAAGTTTGAGAACTTAATGAAAAAAAAATCGGTATTAATTTATTCTATTTTGACTGCCATGTCTTCCAGAATAGTGAGCTTGTAAATGGATATGGCGATTTCATTGGTTTTGCTATACTTCAGAAGTTCTGCGGAAATACTTTTATTTGAAAAGTCATTCAGTCGCTTGTAATTCCCCTTGAATTTCATCAGTTTTTCCACCCTTCAAAAGCCATGTTGAAGAGATTTCCTTGAAATTATGGATAACCATTTGCAATTCCTGCTGTTTATTAGAGACACGGTTTCTGAACTTCGCTTTTGATTTTCATTTTCATTCTGCCGAACGAAACGAAATCGCAGCATAGGTAAGTTGTAAAGCAATAATTATGTGGTTAGTTTTCAAAAACACACATGTGTTTAAAGGATACGTAGGCAAGAATGAAAAACAAATCTCGCAGCAGGGCAGGGGAAGTTTCGATTCTCTGTAAACTCTCTTGGAAACTTCATGATTGGTTCTAGCACTGTCTATTATTTTGTAGATTGTTAACCGATGATCGTGGTGACTGAGAATGTTTTTCAATGTGTTTTGTTTCCACTTCTGCTTTTACAGATCGCTGAATATGCCTATCGTCTTCAAATGAAAGTGTAAACCTGGAAATGCGACTGTCTTTTGGAAAGTCTTTCGATTTAAAGAATAATTACCGAAAGCCATACGAAGCATTGTCGTTTGGAAAAAGTCTTTCGATTTAAAGAATAATTACCGAAGCCTACGAAGCATCAAGAGTTTGGACGGTAAATAGCCAAGACGTTCGCATACGAAAAAATTTGACGTCTTTTGGAAAGTCTTCGATTTAAGAATTACCGAAAGCCATACGAAGCATTCAAGATTTTGGACGGTAATTAGCCAGCGCGCACAAAATTTGAGTCTTTTGGAAAGTCTTTCGATTTTAAAGAAAATTACCGAAAGCCATACGAAGCATCAAGAGTTTGGACGGTAATTAGCCGATAAAATTTTACGTCTTTGGAAAGTCCTTTCGATTTTAAAAGAAATAATACCGAAAGCCTACGAACTTCATTTGGACGACGGTAATAGCCGACCGCACAAAATTTGACGTCTTTTGGAAAGTCTTTCGATTTAAAGAATAATTACCGAAAGCCATACGAAGCATTCAAGAGTTTGGACGGTAAATTAGCCGAGCGTCGCACAAAATTTGACGTCTTTTGGAAAGTCTTTCGATTTAAAGAATAATTACCGAAAGCCATACGAAGCATTCAAGAGTTTGGACGGTAAATTAGCCGAGCGTCGCACAAAATTTGACGTCTTTTGGAAAGGCACCGAAAGATTTCAAGAGGAGCGTCGTCTTTTGGAAAGTTTTCGATTTAAAGAAATTACCGAAAGCCATACGAAGCTTCAAAGTTTGGACTTTGACGAAATTTAAGAATAATTACCGAAAGCCATACGAAGCATTCAAGAGTTTGGACGGTAAATTTGCCGAGCGTCGCACAAAATTTGACGTCAGCATGTTGATGGATTTTTCTCTTTATTGCCGATATCGCTGGGAAAACAAAACAAGATGCTGAAAAAAGAAATCTTGTAAAAAATATGTGCTCACATCTCAGTATTAAGCGGAGCATGATGTAGGAGATTTACAGATTTTGATCCTAAATTACTTTTACTTAACCAGTTAACTGTGGCGCTCTCTTTTAAGAGTGTGCACCGTTTTGTATCGCCAGAATCGAGTCATGACGAGTATATTCGTCAATCACAGAGTAAGTTGCTCTGGTAAGATATTGGATGAAAAAGATGGGTTTATTTTATAAAATTGATAATTTTAATTTACTTATTTGGTTAACATAAGCATATATTACATACATATTAAACTAAAAACGCAATAAATTAAATATTATACATATAAAAGTAAGAATTTAAATTCCTGCTGTGGAGTGATATGCGGCGAAACAGGGTACTATACACAATGGGACTTTGCAAATCGAACACCAGTAACGCGATTCCTACCTGATATTACGTTTGTAGCAATGCGAACACCTTCACCTAGGTTTTTTTTTCCCCGATGTTCCGGGTATATAATCGGGAATATAACTCCCGCCTAATTTGCTTATATTAGGTCTAAATGGCCGAGTATGAGTTTATTTATTTCTTTCAATTGGATACGTCGCAAAAGTGTCTTCAATAAATTTTGAGCAAAAAGTTGATACGGGATAATGTTCCATTATTTTTTTATATAATAGGAATGCATTCAGACACATAATGTCTAAGAAATAGAGAAATATCTTTTTGTAGTACTCTTTTGGGTCGTTTTCTTGCTGAGGAGTACGCTTTGATAATTCCATCGCTCATATCCACTGAACCCATTTTTTTATTATAATCAATCACTAGCTCCGGTTTCTATTTTTCTTTTCTCTGTTTATATTAACAGTTCTCTGTTTCTATTATTTCTGTGCTTATACTTGCGTTGCTTTATTTCTGTGCTTTATACTTGCGTTGCTTACACTGCTTTATACACATACGAGTATACTCGTCAATGCACAAAATCGTGCCGCTTCTTCATGACGTGTATACGCGTCAATACACAAAATCGTGCCGCTTCTTCATGACGAGTATACTCGTCAATACACAAAATCATTCCGCTTCTTCATGACGAATATACTCGTCAATCACAGCTAACTGGTTAACTCAGTAAATTGTTAGTAACGTTTATTGGTGTTAATTATGATTTATAAGTATGTTTATAAAATAACATAAACTGAAGTTTTAAATTATTAATTACAGGTAACTGTCTTGGCTCACGGGGGTGCAGCAACAGCTGGACTTGCCCTTTTATCCACAAAGAAAGCTGATGGCCTGTTCAGTCAAATGTGGCTAACCGCGCCGTCTGCTCATTTCAGCAATAAGTCATTAGAGGAAATCAGCTCTGATAATGCTGGTTTTCTGAGGTATTTTTATCATTACTATAACTTGTTAAAATTTAAATATAAATATAAGCATGTGGGGGGTGAGTTATATTTTGCATGCCAGGCGTAAATATGAGCTTCTGGAGGGTGCGTAGAGACTGTCATCTTGAGATGTTTTGTATAGGATATTTGTTAAAATACGGTGCCTATTTCTGAATGAAATTTTTATTGTTATTCTTGATTTGAAATATTGTAGTTCTATTTATTTATTATTAAATATTGTTTTACTGTAATATCTTTTCTTCCTCCGTTCAAAATCGTATCATTTGCATCGATAAAAGTCTATATATTCTGAGTTGCTGAATTAAACTGCAGATAATTTATTTAATTTTTTATTTTTCAAATAAAGATTACTCAAAGACAGAATATTACGACGTTTTTTCTTTTTACCCTATATTGAAAATTATATTAGAAACGGGCAAAATCTCTCTTTAATGGAACCGGATCAGAACCATTCGCTCATTAGATTGAAATGGTTCTTTTTAACGACTCGCCGCTCACTAACAATAACATTGATGAATAAGACTCGGAACGAGCACTGAATCAAGAGTAGGTAGTGAGGATGTAGCCAAGAGCGGAAGCACTCGAACGAGCAGTGGGATCCGGAATGGTTAGCGAGGTTGGAAGAAAGAGCGAAAAATATCGAGCAAGCAGTGGGATCGGAAGAATTAAGTTAATGAGTAACTCCATGAACTATGTTATGTTAACTCCCTGAACTGATTTCTTTCAACTATAGTCTCGAGATTGACGTAAACCGCTTAACAACAGAATTCTAGAATAAAAACAGATTTCGAAAAGTTGAGGAAATGATAAAAATTAAACTTACTTTTAATATAGCAGGATATATACTCTTTCCTTCCTTAAGGGGACTCATACACCTTAAAACCCATAAGATGTTCGAATAGGTGACTGTTGCAAGAATTGGGATAACTTATTTATTTTAAAAGCAATCACTACCAACTTTTTACAGCTGACTACATAACATAGCTGCTTTCTGAAATAGTAATCAGAAAGTTTGTGTTGACACAATATTTTTTTTATAATTTAATCCGTTTTGTGACAACATTTTTCATCATGTTTCCAACTTGCGCGCACAGTTTTTAAAACATTCTGTTTCATAATTTAATTCCATATTTAATATATATAGCTTTTTATAACATCTGGAAACTACTGTGAACCTAAAATTCTAAAATTTTCAACGCTAAATTTTTATTTTATTTTGAGTTGAGTTTATAAAATGTATTTTATTAAAAAAATTTTTAATGTTTTCGTCCATAAAATTTTTCAATATTAAAATATTCATCAGATTGTTGGTTCAGTTAGAAAATAGTGCCCATATAAAGAATTCCATCAAATCTCAAGTATGTACCATTAGCCATTTTTAAAATATCATGCGCGCAAGGTGGAAGCATGGCGAAATATTTTGTCACAAAGAGGATTAAATTACAAAAATATTTGTGGCAACACAAACTTTCTGGTTACTAGTTTCCAAAGCAGCTATATTATGTAGTCAGCTGTAAAAAATTGGAAGTAATTGCTTTTAAAATAAATAAAATATCCCAATTCTCGCAACTGTCATATATTCGAAGATCATGAGGGGTTTAAGGTGTACGAGTTCCCTTAAAAGGGGGCAGAACTGTGCTGGCACACTTCTAACAAGAGCTTGTAGGTCTTCACTTGATCTGTTGTGCTTAACAGATGTGAAGCGAATTATCGCTATGTCTAAAACTTCGGCAAAGTCGTGAGAAGGTTTAAAAATAATCTTTTTTTTAAGCAAGATTGGCAACACAAAGGCACTCTCTTGTGCTGCTATTCCACAACTCTTGGCGATGCAAAATAAAATAGAGCTGACGAATTTAAGTTAAACAGGAGAAGAGGAACAATAGTCGAAGGCTCCACAATTAATTACGATGCTAGAAGCTGACTCACTACTCTACCGTAGCATCAGAATTTAACTGTCAGCAGCGATAGAACCCAGTGCCGAACAATTACAACTATCACAGTTGGCAGGAAACTAACAATCTTACCGCTCCCGCAATGCCAGAAACACGTTTTGTCTTAAAATCCAAAAACCTCAATTTAAATATTGGCTACTCATTTGTATTCTGGTGAGGAATACAGAAAAGAAAAGTTTTAGTAAAGGCTGAAATCAAAATACCTGGTTAATTAATATAAGAAGTCATGCAAGCTCTCGGTGGGTCTCTAGCAGATAGCTAGCTGGCTGCATGGTTGTTTTCGTGATTTTTCCATGGACCTTATAAGAGATAACCTTTCTTATAAGGTCCATGGGTTTTTCCCTATGCGTAGCATAAATACGAGAGAGTCATCTGCGAATGCATACCTCCCTTTAAGCAGACAACCTGTATATGCTTTGCCATAATTAATTAAAGAGAACTATACATCACAAGAATATGTACCAACATAGAATTTATAGAATTGTACATTAATTTAACGATGTGTGACCAATTTCAGTGATTGTTTTTGTTCAGTATAAGAAGAATAAATATCAAAATTTATGAACTCTGAAAATTTATTTTACTGCTTAAATTACTTTGCATGATACTATGTTTAACTCTCTTCAATTCAAAGAACAAAGACTTTCTTAAAATAATCTAACTGTGTTACTATAATGGTGATTTTATGCATTTGTAGACCAATGCAGAAAATTATCATAAAAGTCTTTTCTTGCAAAATGAACAACACTACTATCACAAAATACATTATACATTAGTTAGTCCATTTGTCTGTGAGTTCTATTACCCGTGCTTGCAAAAGAACTGCTTGCTTGGATTTTGTTCTTCTAATACTCTGAAGCACTGTATTATTTTTTCGTATGTTTTGGTTTGAATAAGCTCTGACTTACGTGTGATAAATTGTTTAAACAAATTTGCATTTGCCGTCTTCAAATATTTTCATACTGTCAGTAAACTTATTTACCTCTTCAAACCATTTATCATTTTTAAAGTGTAAAGACTTGCTTGCTAACTAATGTATTTTAAAATTTTTAGGAAAATAAATTGTGACAGTTTATGGTGCTTATATAACAAAACTTCGGAAGAAGTTTTGGCAGCCACTCCAGGATTCTGGGCTTCCGATTGGTCAACTGATCTTCCCAGTTCTGAAGAAGAGCAATCCCCTGTTATGGTCGTAGTTGATGGTATAAGTCATTTTTTAATTATATTATTAAAAGTTAATGAATGATGTGGTTCAGATATATATTCACATTATTTACAAATCCAAAAAAAAGTGCATTAGTATGGGTTCAATTAATACTGTTGTGGTTGGTACGAGAATCAAACAGTTTAATTTTAAAGTTTCTAAAACAAGATGCAGTTAATTTTAGGTGAGAGTGGCGCGACGATTGTCTGATAACTGATATGTTAACACTGATGATTGTAAATAGCTACCCCTCCCTCTTTTTTTTGTATTCTTGTAATTAATTTATTGTGCCTGAAATAGTAGTTATTTCTTTTCAGCACTATAGGTAAATTCTCGCGAAATGTGCAATGGCTATGATATTTTTACGAATTTTGTATGCATGTAAATAATTTTAGTGAAATTATATGTAAATTATAGTATATCTTGTATAATGTAACATGAAAGGTCTCAAGAGTGTGAAGCATTTGCCAGATAAACAGGATTCCAGAGGCTAGACCATCTAACATTATGGTAAATGGCCCATCTCACCAATCGCCAAGCTGGCGATGGTTCACGCGACTAATCTTTGTCGCCAAGTTTAGCAATCATTTGGTGATATTTTGGTTCGTATACGTATATAACTGTGACTAGTCCAATTCCTATGTAACTGTAACTATGTATGCCTTCCAGCAATTTCGAGAATTGTTAGTAGTTTGAAGAGGTAACTAACTACTGATTGAGGTCTGCCATACTGAGAAGAACTGTTATAGTACTAGTTAGTGGGAAAAGTCTTAGAACTGTAAAACGTTTCTCTTCGCAAAATACATTTCATCAAGCAGTCATCTGTTTAATGTGCATAGAACTGTAAAACGTTTCTCTTGGCAAAATTCATTTCATCAAGCAGTCATCTGTTTAATGTGCAGAGAACTGTAAAACGTTTCTCTTGGCAAAATACATTTCATCAAGCAGTCATCTGTTAATGTGCAGAGAACTGTAAAAGTTTCTCTTGCAAAAACATTTCATCAAGCAGTCATCTGTTTAATGTGCAGAAAAAAGTTTCTCTTGGCAAAATACATTTCATCAAGCAGTCATCTGTTTAATGTGCAGAGAACTGTAAAACGTTTCTCTTGGCAAAATACATTTCATCAAGCAGTCATCTGTTTAATGTGCAGAGAACTGTAAAACGTTTCTCTTGGCAAAATACATTTCATCAAGCAGTCATCTGTTTAATGTGCAGAGAACTGTAAAACGTTTCTCTTGGCAAAATACATTTCATCAAGCAGTCATCTGTTTAATGTGCAGAGAACTGTAAAACGTTTCTCTTGGCAAAATGCATTTCATCAAGCAGTCATCTGTTTAATGTGCATAGAACTGTAAAACGTTTCTCTTGGCAAAATACATTTCATCAAGCAGTCATCTGTTTAATGTGTATTCAATCCATTACGAACCCGTAAGCACGTAGCAATGTAATGGAAGTTATGTATTAAATGTGAAAACCATGTGCAAATAATACATCTTCAAAAAACCAGAACTCTTTATTGAAATTTTTATCAAATGAAAGAAGCTTAAGAAGCTCCATATTTGGGTTCCGTTATGAAAGAATTTCACTTAACAGAGCTGATCAATATTTGCGATACGTACTGAAAGCGTAATGCAGTCGACCTTCTTTTGAAACGAATTATCGTCGACAATGAAAAATGGATCTTCTACAATAATATTAGTGGAAAAAGACTATGGTCCAAGCATGACAAATCATAACGAAAGCTAAATTGCTTTAGAAAAGTATCATGCTGTTATTTCGACGGGGTTACAAAGGTGTTATTGAGCTGCTTCCAAGTGACGAAATGATCAACTCAGATGTTTGTTGCCAATAACTTATGAAACTGGAGCAAGCAATCAAAGAGAATTGGTCATAATTGGCAAATATCAAAGGAATCATGTTCCACCCTGACAATGCTTGGCCTCACACATCTTTAGCGACACGTACGAAATTATTAGAGCTTTGTTGGGAAGTGATGTCTCATACCTCATATAGCCCTGACCTTGCACCATCGGATTATCATTTATTTCGAAGTTTACAAACTATCTTAAAGTGTAAAAATTTCAGTAATAAGAATGACCTCGAATCGGATTTGGTTGAAGTTTTTGCTGATAAAGAGCAGATGATCTATGAGCGTGGGATCAGAAAATTAACAGAAAGATGAACAGAACAGACTGATTAAAGTTCTTTTTTTTTCTATAGATAAGTTTAAGTATTATTTCATACCAGAGAACCGAAAATACTTTCTTGCTGCTAACCCAATACTAAAGATAAAATCGAGAATAATTTCTGAACTTAGAATTTTACTTTTTGCATTGAAACTGTTTCAAACGTTGTGGTCTTAAAAACGACATGTTAATATTAAATTTAGGTTGATTGTTATTTTCAAATAGTAGCTTTTGAGTTAAAATTCAAATGAAAACGTTTTTTCTTTGGGGGGGGGCAGGAGTCTTGTTTGAACTGTGCTAGCTCGAAATACACTGGTAAAAAGAAGCTTGGATTTGTCTCCTTTAATTCGTTTCAAGTTAAAAACTTTTTACATATTTTACAAAAATAGAATTGGGGAATATCGATTTCTTTCATACCATCCACATTTGTTACAAATAAGAAAATTTCACTTACAATTAGCATACTGGAATCGCATAAATTAGATATTTATAATTTTAAATTTACCTGTATATTTTTTGTATGGGCGAAATAGAACACGAACTATCACTGTACTTCACAGTTTCCGGTTTTGTCTTATTTCTTTACTAGCAGCTTCGCTGCCAGCCTTCGTCTGGCTTTTAAATGTACCGGAAAAATGGCTGAAGCGAACACACCAAACGTTAAATTTAAAAACTGCGTAGAATTTTACTCTGCAGAACAACTTCATAAAAAAAAAGTTATTACGTATAACAAAATTACAATGAAATAAGCAACATCCCTTAATACAAATATTAATTATCCTAATAAATAAACTAACCAACTTCCCTTTGCAAAAATCTTAAGAACTCAAATGGTATAAAGGAGGTTAGAACTTTGTTTCCTAAAAAATCACTCAAAACTTTTCAATATCTTAAAAACAGTGAAATGAGCAATAAATAACATAAAAGAATACAAAAACCAAAAAATTCTGAAAAGCAAAATATAATTAATGATATTTTATCTTATATTTTCAAGAGAAAAAAATTACAATGAAATAAGCTATATCCCTTAATACAAATATTAATTATCATAATTAAAAAATTAACCAACTTTCCGTTGAAGAAAACAAATTATGCAAAACTTTTCAATATCTTACGAACAATGAAATAAGCAAAAAATGACATGAAAGCAACTCAAAAAACAAAAAATTCCGCGCAGAATTTTACTCTGCACAGCAACGTTATCAAAAAAAAATCAATAAAAATGTATTATACATAAAAAAAATGACAATGAAATATGCCAACCTCTTAAAAACAGTGACATAAGAAATACGATGAAAAATTGTTGCCAAACTCATATTTCTAAAAGAATGAAACTATTCAAAATGATGCGATTTCATCAAAAATCTATCAACAACAATAAGAAAGGAAAATTGTTGCCAAAATCACATTTTTAAAGATGAGAGATGTGAAAAGTGTACTCGGAAGCTTCATTTTATTTTTTTTTTTTAAATGCAAAATATTATCATTTTTCCAAAATTCTTTTTGTAAAAGCAGTCGCAAGGATGAAAGTTTAACGTGTCCAAAAATCGAAGAAAAATAAGCTGTACATTTTTTAAAATAAACTTTTTTAGAAAAAATCCCGTTGAAAAGGTGTTAAGCTCACTTTGTTCGATAAATTCGTATTCAATCGATTTATTGAAACACGAAATGTATTTTAAGTTCGTAAAATAGCTAAGTGCCTACGTTTCATGACGGTGTGAAAATGAAGTGTGTAGAGTAAAATCTCGCTTTCCTATAGCCCAGTGCTCCGCAACCGGTGTGCCATGAGTAGGATATAGGTGTGCCGCAATCAGATACATGTATTTGACATTTTGCAATTTTTTATCATGTATTTAATACACAATGACAATTTTTTTTCCTAATAATGTCTATTTAATGTTTTATATATTTCACTGTTGTATGGTTGTGTGTGTGATTGTAACTGTGTCAGCTTTTGAATTTTTCGGCATTCCTCGATAACTCGGAACTCTTTGGGTTGATCTTACAATATGGTAACTGGTAGTTTGGCGACATTTGGAGGCGATAAAGTTACTACCGGGACTTTGGTAATAATGTGAGCAGTACTCAGTTCCGATTACGCATTATTTTTGGTGAGGGAAATGAGAGATCATGGGATATGTCATGTGATATTAATGGACGAATTACGGTTCTTTAATCGGAAAAGGGGGAAATCGGGAAAAAATCTGGAATTTTGTATTTGGTTTATTCTGTGTTGTGTGAAACAGTGTTCGTGAATTTTTGGATCCCATGGCCGTAACTAAAGAAAAGTTCATCGGACACGTAATCAAGATTCTGAAGAAGATGAGGTAAGTTAGTTTTTTAATTTTTGAGGATATTATTTTTATGCATTGTTCTAAATGTAAGGTGGAAGTAAAGGAATTTGGTATTATTGGGAAAATTGTTATTAGCAATGATTTAGTTTAAAGTAATTAGGATTGTAAGTAATTTTTATTAATTTAATGTATGGTGCTCATTTATATTTTAAGTAGTGTTTTTGAATTTAATTATATTTTAATTAAATGATAGTTATTTTGTGAATTTTATGTTTGTAGGAATTTGGTATACGTTTAAGTTGAAGTAAACGTGCATGGAAATAATTTAAATATTTGATACTAAGTATTTGTAATGTTTGCGGTATGAATTCGTTGGTGACGTGTATAATGTAATAGATGATTTAGAGGTAAAAGTTTTTGGATATTTTATTTATTTTATATGTGGAAATGTTCATATTTGGAAAGGGTAAATACTTTTTCGCGATCAGGTAATTTCATATATGTTCTTTTTACCGGGTTTAAAAGATTGAGAAAATTGTCATGTATTTTCGTGAAATTTTTTTTCTAATTTATGAGAAAAAAAAGCAGTGTACATGGATATAGTGAAGAGTGTGCGCAATGCCATTTTTGTGCAATTCTGGGATGTTTTTTTTAAGTAAAAATAAGTCGGCGTGTACATGGTTTATGTGTATGTGTTATTTTGAAAAACGCGTAAGGAGTATGGTATTGTGCACTTTTTCCCAATTTTGCAGTGAATATTTGTCATGATTAAGCAGTTTTGTTAGATAAAAATTTCTAGCATAAGTGTAATTCGGCTAGTAGATTGTTGGAAGAAGTGTTCAGTAGATAAAAAGAAAAGAAACATGTCTTTACTTCGTGAAGACAAAATGGTGTCGGAAAAAAAAAAAAAAATAGAGGGTTGCTGTAGGAGAGTTGGTCGCCAAATTTTCGCCAAAAAACGCCAAGTTACCATAATGTAAAGATCAACCCTCTTTGGTGTGCCACGAAATTTCAGAAAGATTTTTTTGTGCGTCGCAGGTGAGAAAAGGTTGCGGAGCACTGCTATAGCCCTTATGTCCAAAATGACGCGATTTCGTCAAAAACAAAATAAAAAAATTCGAATCGAATTTGAAAACTCGCTCGAGGTGCACGCTTATCTAGATGCACCATGTACAAATTCGTAGCCGTGGGTCTATTAGCTTACGCGCAGCGCGAACGAAAGGCACACACACAGACAGACTCTTTCTTTTATTATATGTAGAGATTAATAAACAAATCATAATTTTGATTAACTTTTCTTGTGTATTTTTAGGCAACATTCTGTATAATACACCTTTCAATATGTGGAAAGCTGGAGATATACAACAAGTACCAGTTGTTCTAGGTGAGTCCATGATTTGATATCTAATTTGACAGATTTTATGATGCTGCATGTATCTGCATATATCTTATAATATCTGCTAACCTGAAGACTGACATTTTTAGCTGTTTTGTTTACATTCTCAGGTTTTTCATGTTTCATTCATCCATTTTTGTGTTTTCTGTTTTAACTGTAAGGTGTCCTCCAAAAACATTGTGGACGAAAACGTTGCATAGAAAGCAACTCAAGGCGAAAACGTCCTCGTATAAAATACTGTGGGTAAAAAAAAAAGCAAAGAGAAAAACATCGCAGTTCTGAAACCTCGTTGTACAAAATATTGTCGCCTAAAAGTGATTCAGAAACTTCAGTTTAAAAATATCGACATCGAAAATATCGTGACAAAAACAAAGCTTTTATACAAATCGTCGCATGACGATAACACAGCAGACATGCATTTTTTAGGCTTTAAAAGTTTTAAATGCATATTCGTATAATGATTTGTGAGGGCAAGAATGAAAGAGGAATGTTTTTACTTTTACATTTCATATTTTTGAATTAAAAAAAGTAAGGAAAAATAAGTAAGTAAAGATTGAAAAATTAAGGAAGAAACTTAAACATTTAAAAACTGAAAATGACCGGAAAATTAATGCAACTTGTAGCACTTAATAAAATTTTAAACCCACTTAACTAATAAAGGTCATTAATAAATTAATTTTTTATAAAAGTTTTACTGGTTATTTTTCATGAAAAATATAGCTTTAAAATATTACAAAAAAAAAAGAGCTAAGTTAACTGCACAAGGTAAAACGTATGTCTGCGACGTTATCATCATGTGTTGATTTGCAGATGCTTTATTTTTTGCTACGATGCAAAAACTGCGAAGTTTTTGAGCCGCTTTATTTTCGACGACGATAATTTTGTACCATGATGTTTCATAGTTGTGATGTTTTCCCTGTGCTCTCGATTTTTTGTACCACGATGTTTTCGCCTTGCATTGTTTTCTCTGCGACGTTTTCTCCGGCGGTGTTTTCAGTTCTAATTAACTGTAATGGCAGTAATTGCATTCTGTGGATGAAATGCACAAACTGAGCATTATGAAGGCATTTTCATTGGCATGGATTCATTTTCTTGTGTTTAAATAGGACATTTCTATTCTAGGTTCTGCTGCACAAGAATCTGGTTCCTCCAAAATACTTCCAGACCTCGATAAATGGACTTGGACAGATTTTAGTGATTACGTCAGTGAAAAATTGGAATCCATCAGTGACAATGTGACTGTGGCAGCACTACAATTCTACATTCAGAATTCATCAACGCCACTTCAGCAATTCCATTCAATGGTAATGTATGAATTTATGCATAATAGTAATGATTTATGTATGAGTAGTAATAATGAGTCAATCTGTGCAATTAAATTAAAACTTTCATTAAATTTTTTCCTCTATTGGTGTGCATTTAGCCGACTTAAGCTTGGCCACTACTAAGGCCGGAAGTGGTGGCCACTTTATTGTGGAAGCATTTAATAGGTGGACACCGTTACCTCCTATGTAGGGATGGAAAATTACAGCCATGCCTTCTCCAGGATTCAAACCCAGGCCCTTCGGTATTGCAATAGGCTCCCCTAGCCACTATACTAGGGAGGGGCAAACGTTTTCGTTCGCGGGCCAAAAATCGAAAATAAAAAGTTTGGCGGCCCAAGATAATTTTTTCTAAAATTAAAAAATATATATATACAAGTATTACAATTTAAATATGTTAATGAGAAGAATAAAATTGCGATTTCATTTTTAAAAGTTCCTTATATTGAATTTCGAAGGGAAGATGTACAGGGTAAATGCTCATCTGTCAGTTTACTTCTGAAATAATTCTTTCTAAGATTCATCGTTGAAGACATTTGTTCACTGTATAAGATGAAGCAAACATAGCACTGATTTTCTGGGCGTGAGATATTAAATTTGGGAAGCTTACTTTCGATAAGGATTTATAAAACTCTAACTTTGGCATATTTAGAAAAACTGCTTCAGATGATTGTTAGATTGCAACTCAATTAATTCAAGCTGCAACTGACCTCATTGTTTCACAATTTACGTTGAAAGGCATGGTAAAATTATCCAATTCTGTTGAATGTCACTGAAATCTTGAAATCTTCGTTCGAACTCAAAATGCAGTTTTTTCAAGCGATCTTCATAATTCTTAAGCTTCTCTTCATTTACTGAGGGTATTGAATTTAACTTTGGGGAATGAGACAAGTCGTTCTTAGTTAGCTGCCCAGTGAACGGATTAAGTTTTCTTATTAAGTTTTAAGTTAAGATTACGTTTTTTTAAGAGGTCTAATTCACGTATATAGGATCCCCATATGTCTACTCCCCGAGAAAGAGTTAATGCTTGCTTGCGCCAGTCTACAGCTATTACTAACAAAGAACTTCCACTTTTAACACTTTATCAACTGGAAGCTGTCTGTGCTTGCTATTTCCGTCAATTTATGTTTTTAGAACAAAAATAAAGAAAGTAAAAAGATCATCAGTCCTTTGAAAAATATGAAGAACAAAATAATATTTAAAGAAAGTAGAAAAGGAGGTTGTATATAATATATAAATACACATTTCTTTTAATTTGCCTCGGAACGGCAAATTGAAATTCTATCCAAGGGCCGGATAAAACCTTCCAGCGGGCCGGAGTTGACCCATCCCTGCACTCGTCTGGGCGGCTGAATTTCATTTAAAGTAAAAAAAAGCAAAACCCAAAGATTCGATATCTAATTGCACATAGACCATAGAAGCCGGCTGAAATTCTATGGAAGACCTTATTTTATAGAATGCTTCGTATTTTCAGGCAAAGTAGGAGAACTGTATAGACTTTCCCTAAGCATCGTATATATTACCTAGGCATTCTATACAATTGCAAATGCTATTGAAGCAAAGTAAGAAAAAAGATCATTCTAAGACTATTATTTAAAAGGCTTGCGTCACGAGGTAGATGCACAGTTCAATATCATGACATGTAACTTTTTTGTAGTTGGTTGAAAGTTATTTCAATATCCTATCACGTCCTCCAGGTCGAATAGCCAAATGAGCTTCATGAAGTACATGAAATAACTCAGAGTTCATGACATAATACTGTAAATCAGTTATCTCAAACTGGCTGGCCGCATGCGGGCGGCTTGGATGCAGTTTTATGCAGCCCGCAAAATCATTTCAATTGTGTATTTATTGCAGATACATTATTATTATTATTATTATTTACGTGTTCCGCCTTCAGGCACTACAAGAGAAAGATGCCTTCGTGGAGGACATTCTAAGGGAAACTGGTTCGTATTAACACGTTACACATGGGGAAAAACACGAAAACGCTCATGCAGCCAGGCTGTTCGCGAGTTTAGAACCTCGGACCGAATTACCAGTGTTCGGGAACTTTACTGTCCGGGCTATGGTGGCAGATACATTGATGCAAAGATTTTTAGATTTTTAGTTATTTGAAGCCTATCTTCGCATTATATTAATTTCCATTAAAAGCGAACATAAATAACCCATCAAAAAACCTACAAATGGGCTAAATTTACAGTGTGATATAAATCTTATTAAAAGATTTGAAAATATAAATTTTATTAATTTTTATTCGTTCTTCTCAAGAAACGCTTAGCTACAAATTTTTGCGCTGTGAATAAGGGCTTCGTTTGGGAATACATATATATGACTCTCAGAGTTGAAAATCAATACGAATAAAGCCCGATGGACCGATGAACATGTGTAGTCCGTACAGAAGATAATTTCCGGTGATTTCTCCTCAGGGCTATAAACTTTATCAGAATCGAAATACCATCTGTTGCCAAACTGTAATAAGAAATAAAGAAGTTTATAATTATTTGCATACAAACGTATGTATTTATACTATTTATGCATCGGAGAAAAATAAATAGATAGATACCTTGCCATCATATATTCTCAAATTTTGTTCCACGTCGAAAATTTTCTCCTAGTGGGTGATTGGTCAAAATTTGGAAAATTATGAAAACTTATAATTTTTCATGATTTGTTTATTTTTAGTTTAAATTAAATTATTTAATGATTAATTAAACATATTAGAATTATTTGGAATAAATATTAATTTGAAAGTTTGATATTTAGCTCTCTGTATGTTTAACGTACAAGGTGTCACAATTAAAATTGTCTTGCAGGTACCAAACTTTAGATTTCAGATAAAAAAATAAACATAAATTTGATTTATTTTCCATTCCGATATTATTGTTATTGTTAATGTACGTTTCGATAAAATTTAGTAAGCGAAATTTGAAATTTATTCGATTTGTTTTTTTTTTACTTTGTTAACAGATTTTTCTTTTGTTAAAATAAAAATCTGCCCCCGTCAGCTATTTTCAGGTTGTGTATTGGGTCCACATGCAATATCAGTTTGAGACTTTTGCTGTATAGTACTGACGCCTTCTTTAACATTGATTTGTTTTCACGAAAATCACTTCATAGCGATTCAGCAACAAATAGTCTCGGGGCTCCCTCCTAGTAGTCATTTTACCTTTTCTTTTACATCATTTAATAACTTCTAGTAAGTAGTTTCGGTTAAGAACAAATTGTTTTTTTGCAGCGTTAATTCGAACTCTGGGTAATTCCTAGTCGAATCATTGTTGCATGTCTATTGACCGTAACTTCTTTTCCAATATTACACCTTGCTCTTCCATTTTCATCTAGCACAGAATAATTCTAACTCTTTGTTGAACAAATTTAAGTAAAACTGCGTATTTTGACATTCTCGAACATAGCACAAAATGCAAATGGCAAATTCGGAGCCTGAGGCGAGCGATAAAAGTCACGTGCCTTGCTATGTGACGAATCGGAGATGCACTTCATACTTTGCATATTTGCCATTTGGTATTCTACAGAATGCCTAGGAAATGTGTGAAATGGAAACGTTTCATATACTGCCGTCTAGTTTCCGGTATTCCTATATACGAGTACAATGCTTAGAATTGTATGTTTTTCTATAGAATGTTGGCTTTCAGTCATTGCCGGTAACACAGATTCTAGTTACTTAATTGTAAATTTTATATGGAAAAAAAATCTGTGTTTACGCGACATGACTTATTAAATTATGGCAAAATTTAATCGGGATATTTAATATCAAAATTTGCGATTTTTTTTTCAACTTGTCTTGAGGGATCGGTTAAGTCTTCTTCAATGGCCAGACAGCCCAGGATGGGCACTTCCTCAGAATCGAATTCCAAGCTCATCTATCCCTGCCCTGGCCATGGACATCCATTTGGTTATTTTTTAAATTCTTAAGTCTGTTTCCTAAACAGTCGAGCCACCTAAGTTTAGGTCTCTCTCTTTATTGGGTGCCGAATGGTCTGACAGAGAAGATCTTTTTAGTTACTCGATTTTCATCCATTCTGCACAGGTGTCCTGCCCATTTTATTCTCTGAATCCTTATATATTTTACTATATCTGTTTCTTTAAAAGATTTATAGAGTTCAGAGTTAGTTCATCTTCTCCAGATATTGTTATATTTTATGCCACCAAAAATACTTCTCAAAATTTTTCTTCCAAAGACAAAAATGATACTTTTAGCTTTTTAGATCATTGCCCAGGTCTCAGCAGAGTATGTAAGAATGGGTCTGATTAAGCTTTTGTAAATTAAAATCTTCGTTTTTCTGCTAGTGAAGTTAGACTTCAAATATTTTTTGAGACCGAAAAACATCGGTTAGCATCTGTGACGGAATCGGTTAAGTAAGTTAGAATAATTCGAGGACATAAGTTTAAATGAAGTGCAGAAAAGAATTGTGTCATTTAATTGGCCGTGTGGTGCCTACATCAGATTTTTATGCTTGCAGTTAAAGGTGTGTGCTGAAAGGAAATTAAGAATTGCTGCAGGCACAGAAATGTTGTGGGAAAGAGTCGTAAGCTGAAAAATGCAACATAAAGGTGGGTGGGTTTTGTTTTTATGTTTTTGTTGTCAACGGGTTTTAGGTGGGCTGCTTAACCATGAGGACCGTTATTTCGGTCAGGATTGCAAACACAATCAATATTAAATTACATAAAAGAAACGAATAGAAAAACTGAAAAAAGTCAAAAATCAACTGAAATAAACCGAACGAAACTAAAGAATGTCAACGAAATAAACCGAAATAAAACGAAAAAGCTGAAATAAATCAAACGGAAAAGAACTGAAATAAACCGAAATAAATCAGCTGAAATAAAACGAAAACTGAAAATAATGTCAGCTGAATAAACGGCACTGAAATAAATGTAGAAAAAACGAAACGAAAAGAAATGTCAACTGAAATAACCGAAACTAAAAAAAAGGTTGAATAAACCGAAAAAACTGAAATAAATGTCAACTGAAATAAACCGAAACTAAAATAAATGTCAACTGAAATAAACCGAAACTGAAATAAATGTCAACTGAAATAAACTGAAATAAATCGAAACTGAAATAAACCGAAACTGAAATAAATGTCTGGTCTAGTCTACTGACCCTCCTTCTTAGAAGAGTCTAGCTAGTACCAGATAGTATCTATCAGGTTAACTAAACATTGAAAGATTTCTGCAGGAAAAGTCAGTAATCGTCGTTGGTGGTGTCAAAGTCATTATGAATTATAGGCTGTAACACTATACATTATATTTCAGGTTTCTGACGTTAGAACATTATGCCCACTTGAGAGACTTGCTGAAGCACTAGGAGAAGTTCTGCAGACAGGTTCTTACTGGTACGTTGTGGATTACAAACCAAGTTCACCCATCCAGTTCTCAAATGATAGTTATGCTGCTCACCTATCTGTTCACGGCATGGACATTGCTGCAATCTTTGGTCTGCTTGATCAGTACTTAAAACCCATGGCTCCAGCTGATGTAAAATTCGAAAAGAACATGCAAGATTTGTTTTACAGTTTTGTTCGTTATGGTCGACCAGAGATACGCGGAGAAATCTTGATGGCATCAAATTTCATTAATATGATCGGAGATCAAATCCGCAGTTTGTTTTTGCCATATGAAAACTGTCATCTTTGGAATAATGATGTGTTTTACCCCACGTATGCGAAAGTCAACTAAATATAGTTGGACTTTTGAACTGTAATTTTTAGTGTTCTTATCAAAAGTTTGAAAGTAGCATTACACAACTATGTTACTTTTGAATGAAATTTATGTGAAATTAATACTTTGAGTATTAATTACTATTGGGCAAAGTGTTTTATAGTAAAACATAAAACTATATTTGAGAATGTCTTCAATATCATGCTCAAAAGTTGAAAATGTTAACTAAAGTAATATGCATTTTTATTATAATGAAAAAGTGATTGATTTTTGTATTTGCTTTACCTACAAATATGCATTGATATGTCTTTTTTTATTATTTTATTTGTTTTTGTAGAGTTTTGCATAACGTAAGAAATCTCAGGAAGGGATATAGAAAAGGTCTTGACTATTCAAAAATTTATTAATTTTTCTGACTGATACCGCGTTAAAGCTGTGATACAGTGCGAGCTGATAACATTTCATCATTTAGTTATCATTTAAAATCATAATTGTACTCATTTCATTTTTCAAGTATGTGTTTAGTTTTGCGTTTTCTATATGTCATCTAGTTTTGGAATATTTAATATGTTTTTCCTCGTGCAAAGGAGGGGGGAAAGTGTGGTATTAAACTTAATTTGCACTTCAGAATTTGTTTTTTCCGTCAGAGTTAATTTTTTAAACATATCAAATAACATTTCAAAAATTTGGTATTTCATTATAATTTCGATGTACTTACTTTATCAAATTAATTCACTAGGATAATTCTGAATTTCAAAAGTATAAACCCTGATGTGTTTTAAATTATTTCTTACCATGTAATAAAAATTATACTGTAATGCAAAATGAAAAGAAAGCAAGTTTGTTTACGACGCGAAGTACGATGGAATAGTAAAATATGATACTTTATTATAAGGAGGAGCATGTGCATTTTAAATACAACAATTGTAATTTTGATTTTAAATTTATCTTATCATAGAATAATATGGCCAAAGAAAATATATTCCTGTGAATTTCTGACAAGTTTTGGTTGTTTTTAACTATTGCTGTTTCTGACTGAATACTAAGTAATCAAAGTAGATTTATACTCAAATCCCTATTATAATTTTATATTATTTCTTACGGATTTATTGAAAACAAATTTGTAAATGTTCGTATAAAAACTGAAGTACGCAATTTATAAGATAAAGCTGATGGATATTTTTTACAAAATTTGTTGATAGCTGATCAACTTTCATGACTGTTCATTTCATTAGTTAAATTGCATTTACACTCGCGAATTCCTCATGTTAACCTCTGTGAATTATTGGGACCAACCAGACCCATGTATTAAAATTTGTGATCTAGCATTCATTCTTGCACTGTTGTTATCAGGGTTGTATGCATCTGTGAAAGGACTTTGTAAAGGCTAATTTACAGACTATTTATATTATCGGCTTACATTTTTAATGTGTAAATATAGTATAGCTATCAGCCCTTTTCTGTGGAAGGAGCTTCAGAATATTGCAACTTGCACATGCAAAGTATTATCAAATCTTCAATATTATTTAACACTTTTTATATAAAAACATTTTTGCAGAATGTAAAATATTTGAAAACTTTAAAAAAGTATAATATATTATTCTACATAAATATAACTTCTGGTATTTGATTAAAAATTTTAAGCAGACCTTTACAACATATTTCAAACTAATCTTTACATATCCATAGCTACTAGTGTAAAATAAAATGTAATAATTAGCTATTAAACAAAGTTTCAAAACTGGAACCGTATTGTTTCAAAATGGAACCGTCTTAAATTTAAAGTAACTAAGATTATCTGGATTATTCTAAAGTACATTAAGGCTGTTTGCCTAAAACGGGTGTCCCTCGGAGAAGGTCCCCCCCCCCCGGGAATTGGGAAGGATACTGACTCACATTCAGATTTCACACGGGTAAAACCACAAATATGTAGCCACCCTATTCGGTGGGATGTCAGCAATCAGCATTCAGCGCTCTTGCCGCTTGCTGCTGATTGGTTTTTAAAACAAGTATTCGGTTTTGATAAGGATTCGAATGTCTTCAAGCTCACTTACACATCTTTATTTATTATTGAGGTACATATGAAATAAAATAAAAGTTGAAAACAAGCGTTTGGGTATTGAAATGTGGTTCAGGAAAAACGAACATTGTTGTGGAAACAAATTTATTGGAAGTTTTGAGCCATGCTGGGTTTTTAATCTTTTCTTCTACCAAATAAGCAAATTTTGAGAAGAAGAATGAAATTTTCTTTCACTTTTTGCCAGAACTAATGATTTTTTTTATAGCATATAGGGCAAAAATTCCCAACCTTTTCCTTGCATCAAACCCTTTTAAAGGAATACATACGTAAATATAATACAAATAATTACACATAACTTGAATCTAACAATTAGATTAAGAATATTCACTGAAGTTTTGGAAAAATGGTTTATTAGGTTTTTGTTTATTTGTGTGTGTGTGTTTTATTATTTTTAATTTTACAAATATAAACAAATTTTCAGAAACAGAACCACAGATTCTAATTTCACAAAATTTCAATTTTATTTAATCTGATTGGCTGGCGCTCGATGCACTAAGGCGATTGTTTTTAATATTTGGTATAAAGCTGCTTAATTTAATTTAAATCATCTCGTTCAAAAATAGTGTCTCTTTATTGTTTTCCATTCTGGTTATGTGTTCTTACTTTTTTGATTGTGTTTTCTTTCGTTATTGCGTTTTACTTTTTTTATATTTTACTAATTGCCTAAAATGTTTATATATTAAAAATTATTATGGATTTTTAAAATATAGTAAATTTTTTTATGTTTACCCTCCTTACATTTATTTTATGCAACGATACAGCTTTAAGTCAATAAAGGATTATCTATTTTATTAATAACTTTTTCGAAATCAGTGCAATCTTGATTGTGCCGATTAATTGTCGACATATATTCTGTTATCGACTATGATCACCATTTCCTCCTCCTTTTCTTAACTCTAATTTCTTTTCCTGTGTTCCACAAAGTATACCAGGTGGTGCATTTAATTACGGCAAAGCACACTAGGGCTATCTGCCTAAAGGGAGGGATGCCTTCGTGGAGGACTTTCTAAGGGAAACTGGCTCGTATACACGTTACACATGGGGAAAACCACGAAAACAAAGTATACCAGGAGGCTTACACAAGTAAGTTATATTACTAATCAAATAAACATACAATACCGCTGCAAATGGGAAAAAAGTATTAAGGAACAATAAATAAATAAAAAAAATATGTTACCGTTGAACCCCTTTAAAATTTCATCATCTTCCCCCCCAGGGTGCCTATATCTATGCTGTTGGAAATTCTTGATTCAGTGCTTTGGGAAGTTTTTTTAAATGTCATTTAAGAAGAAAAAAATTAGATTTAATTAATGATTAAGTTTTGCCAACTAAATCCTGTTCTTTAACATTAAAAATAAATACATAAATAAAAAAATTAATTATAAGGTCTGCTTTAAAAATAAGTTTAATTGTTATTTTTGCTTTTAGGCATAAAGAATTTTCTGCATAAAAGCATACTTAGTTATTGCATGTGCAGTTGTTCCTTATGACACAAAACTGTGAGATGTCATGAACATGAGAACTTGAATGAAGTAGTCTAATGTTTTGCCTGTTGCAAAATTCCGTTTAACCTATATTTGATAAGATCACACTGCCTGGTTATTTATTACCTTACTGATTAATCAATCTATTAGATTCCATCAATGTTACATTGTGGCAGATGTGTTCTGTACATTTCAAAATCTACTTTTCTACCCTCTACATATCTTTAGACTGAATGTTTAAAGTAATATTTAGTATGTGTGTATCTGTAGTGAGATTTAATGTGTGCGTGGATTGATTTCAGAATTCCACTGCAATTTATAGACTGCAAATCTCAAAGTTAATGTTTTTCACATTTTTGTACATTTTAATGACTTTCTTTCAAAAACTTATGCTGAGTTAAAAAGTAAAACAATGTAAACCAAAGGAATTTGCATTCACTTGCAATTTCCAATCGGATAAAGTGCAAATGATTTTGAAAGAAGTCTGTCTTTATAAATGTCCATTTGAAGGTTTTCTGACGTTTCACTGAAAATTTAATATCAAGGCTGCTGCAGATACTGGTGCTGTTTTGAACTTTTACTACACTTCGGGCCAGTACCCAGGTGCTTGTTTTATACAAGTAAGATGACTTTATAAAATTTAGATTTTTGTATGAGAGAAGTCTTTACAACTTATGTGCTCAATTTTACTCAAATGTTCAATAAACTTTAGGGTTTTAAAGCAAATTAAAATACATTAATTGTAACGTGAAATGGCGTAATCGCCTGGATTACTGAATTTCATAAAATTTTAATAATCACGAAACTGAATCACTAAATCTTGAATCATTGTATCAATTTCATTTATCTCATTAAAGCATTTTTCTGCACATGAATTGACAGGAGGTATACTTCTATAACTAATTTTGTACACATTTTGAATATCACGTTTGCTGCCACCGACGAGAAGACTCGTAGCTGGCCAGTTGAGTGTACTTGCCATGTACGAGATAACTCGTTACTCATAGCCTTACCCAAAACCACCGAATATGGGTACTGCTGTAGCAGGCCGTGTTTAGATGTTTGGCGTAGAGGAAGGGACTATATAATGGACTTGGCATATTGAAATGGGTCATTTGTTTCTCAAAGCGTAGATACAATACGTAAATGTTTAGAAGTCTAAAATTTTTTGTTGTTGTTTTGTTTATTCACCTGGGAAATGTTATAAACGGACTACTCAAATTTTTGTTCAGAGACTCGTGTGAGGCTAATAGAAAACAACCTATCGCGCGTGCAGTTTTTCATAAATGCGCAAAACGGGTGAGTATTTTTATCTAGTTCCGAGATATCTCGTAGTTGGCATAGGGAGCAAAAGTCTTATTTCAGATGAAATGCGAACTACGAGTATAATCGTGCGAGTTTATTTAATGTTAAAAGAAATATGTTACATCTATATTTAAATAATAAAACAAAGAAAAATAATTAAAAAGCATGAAAATGCAGGTAGATCTTTGTGTGTATGAACGGGCACACCATATCGTGCTTTGGCAGCGAACGGGATAAAGTATTTACAACACTTTTGTGATATTATAATAAATGGCTTGTGAGTGATCAAATTAATGTGCCAAAAAATGCTAAAAAAGGGGGAAGGAAGAAAGGCCTTAATTTGAATTTGTCTTCCTCTCTACGAATAAGCTTTTGTTTTATGTATATATATTGCAGTTTTAGAAATAAACAAAATTGTTTTATATCAATTTTAATTTTGGGAATCTTTTAAAATTAGTTTTTTATATGAAATACGGAACAGATAGATACATTTGTGTTCTTGTCTCATGTTCCATGTGCATTCATCTCTTTCTCTGCGTTAAAAAGTTTGGAAAACGTCATACACAGTAGAATAGCAGTGATCCAAAGCTTCAGTTATATGAACATCTTCTTCCTAGGCATTAAATGTGTTAATTTTTTTATATGTTTTTGACTTTTTTTGCTGCTTGAAATAATATAATGCAGCAGTATATATGTGTAAGTACACATAACGTTTCTTAAGTTATACTTAAGAAACTGTAATGTAAAATGCAATCCGAAAATTCACCGAATTTTCTTCTACTAAATACCTTTGAGCCCCAGGCATAGAATTTTTGTAATAAAGAAACATTCACATCAGATATTATCAAATGAAGCCGTTTTTATTTATAGCATATTATATTCTATCAGGCAAGTCAAGAGAATCCTATAATACATAGATTAAAAATATTCTTTTTAGGATAATAATAACTGAAATTAAATACCGCTGCCACTTAAAAATTATATTAATAAAATATCGTTTGTATTCATCTAAAGCTAACGCTTGTATTAAATGAATTCTTAACAAGCAAAGGATAACACTATAGAATTATTTTTAGTTAATGTAATAGCTTCGCAAAAAAATTAATTAAATAAAATATAAATACTTCTTATATGTCTTCTTAATTATTCATAATTAATCAGTCTTTAATTAAATAAACATTCTTTTTATAAATTTGCAAATGAAGATAACTTTTTTACTTAATTCACATTTAGTAAAGACAAATTATGTAATTATTTTTGAAGCCTTCATAAATAAAAATTAGCTTTACAGCTTTATTTTAATAGAAATAGGAATCCATTATGTATTTAGGAATGAGAAAAAAAATTCTTTGTTTAATTCTGACAAAAAATTGCATAAAATATCTATAAACGTGTAAACAATTGATTTTAACTAGTAATCATTGATGTGTATGTGATTCCATCATTGATGTATCCAAGATTTGTTTGGATGTTATATATTTGTTTGTACTTTAACTAATATGCAGCCATTTTTAAAACTTAAATGGAAAATTTTTCATTTGTAAAATTTTGTAAGCATTTTAAGAAGTATACCTCATGTTAATAAATTATAAAGCTGTCTTGGAATATATATCTCCCTTTATACTCATTTACATATAATTTTTTAAAAATCTACTGGTTAGTTATGCTTTTGGGCTTTTGGAATAGCAAAGTTTTATATTAACTGTGCTGCCATTTACATTTTCCTAATTAACTACATTTTGGAATGCATATCATTTTCCAAATATGTGAAGCTCTGTTGACGTATAGTGCCATTTCTTGGCGCGAAAACTACATTCCAAATGATTTTAATAACCATGACATTTAATACAATATTTGACTGAATTAAAAGTATTATTAAAGAGATGTATTATTGAAGAGAAATCAAAATTAAATGATGTAAGTATACAAGTTTTACTTCATGTATTATCTTTTTAATGTCCTACATATAATTTTTGATGAATATCTTTTACAATAAATTTGTTAACTTTTACTTCATTTTCTCATTTTATACTATTTTTACGTGTTGTTTATCCATCAAAGTCTTTTTACAAAAAAAAATGTGATTGCTCATTATTGTAAGACTGAATAATTTTAAGTATTATTTTTTTTTCACTTTGTTAATGTTTTGAGTTGAGTTTAGATTTTGGAGTTAATGTGTGCAAAGTACTTATGTGATCTGCAGTTGTCTGTGCTTGTTTCGTTTTTAGTGTTTTGACTTGTGTAAAAGAATGATTAATATTTGTGTCTGTAAGTCAGTCACAATAAAATCGTGCTTTTTGTGTATATCTTAAAAATAAAAATTTAGAAAAAATTTCTTTGTTTTTCATTCAGTTTAATAATTGTGTGCAGCAAGTATATTCAACGAATTCCAGTCAATCTTAATGAACAATGAACTTAAATGACATTTTTTTTCCCCTCATGATCTAAAAAATGGTAAAAAAGTTTGTACCTGAGAGTGCAATGGTCTCACCTACAGGGTGGCTGAATAATTATCACACCATTTAAGAGCAGAATAATTCTTTTAGGCATCGAAAGGCGACATTTACTCTTTTATAAACAACAAATATACATGTAGAAATTATTTTTTTTTAGCTTTCATAGATTATATCCTTGAAATAGCTGCGAGACCATTCTAAAGTTTGCTCCATTATTGTGCTAATGTTTCTCTGTTTTATTCTTTCAGTTTCCTCTCAAATGTTGGTTTTCATTGCTAGATGATGCCAGATTGTTACCCTGTATTGTTTCTTTTAGATATCCCCACAAGTAAATGAATGGATCCGTAAGGTCAGGTGAGCGGGGAACAAAGTTTCGTGAAATTATCCACCATTTAAAAATTTATTTTATAACCTCCATTGTCGAAAAAGCCGAATGGGAAGTAGCCTCCATCTTTCTGCCACCATTTACCTCTTCAACCGCAGAATGCTGCAGCATGACAGGTACATTGGCCTGTGACGGTTACCGCATCTTCTGCCTTATCGTGAGAGAAAAAAGCTCCAAGGACTATTCTGTGCTTAACACCGCAACAAACATTTATAGGATGGAACTCACGCTAAAGGAATATTGCTGGGTTTTCTTCTCCCCAAGAGCGTGCTTTGTTTACTCTCAAAGTGGCTCATCTCAGCAAAAAAACGTGAAAAATGAGCCAAGCCTTTGACAACTCCGGAACTCCCAAGTGCTAGACATACGTACTTCCAGTTACACCACGATGGTATTTGCTAAGGAGGGAGCAAACGTCTTATATCTTTAAATAAATCTGGATTATTTTTATTCGTGGACTGTCGTAAATTTCTCCATTTTCTAAGTGCTACATTTAAATAATACCCCACATTATTTTATAATTAAAATTTCAGTACCGTGAACTAATACGAGTACTTCCATTGCAACTAACAGATAGGAAGACCCCCCCATTGCTGAATTGCTTATTATCATTTTTATAGATATGTTTACACCTCAAAGACGAGGCCGGATTGAGATATATACAGGTTCTTTCCTTCAGTTCGTTTTCAATTTTCTTTCTCCAGAAACAGAATATATAAATTAGTCATTAACTTAAAAAGATCGAGAGTCTGATTTGATTTGAATATCCGTTCGATTACTGTTTTGATTGAAGCTGTATCTGTTCATCCTACTGAGACATATTAATTCAGTTGTGATTAAAAAATCCAGATTTAAAAGATTTCAGTTTCCTTCATTTCGTTCGTGTTCAATTTCTACAGAAATAGAACATAAATTAATGACAAAAACCAAAAATCAGACTCTTGATTTTTCTTTACAAAGAAGAATCAAGGGTCTGATTTGATTTGATTTCAACATCTGCAGTGTTGCCACTGCTCGCTTTAAAATCGTTGAATTTCTTAATTAAAAAACTTGTTAAAGTTTAAAAAATATGAAATCGATAATAAAACAATTTCAGAATTCAAGATTCGGGCTTTCAGGTGTCCATGTTCTGGTGGAAGACCGTCACAGTGCGAAAGACATACATACATTCATGCAAATTCTTCATTTAATTTCTTTAAATATGATACACGGCGATAATATTTGGTGGCAACAGTCTGGAAAGTGGTACAGCCGTTAATAATGATTCCAAGTATAATGCCGGTTCGAGACTCATACCCCTTCTGGGCTAACGCCCGTTTTGATCTAATAATTTTAAAATTTAAAGAAATAAACATTAATTTTGTTTCCCTGTATGCCATTTTGATAGTTTTTAAAATTATGCGTTTATATATCAAGAGTGGATGCGATTTCAAGTGCCGCCAATGAGCTGTAGCTACGTCACTGAAAGTGCCTAACATCGTAAAGAGAAGATATACGTAAAACCATAGTACAGAAAGCTAGTGACTCATTCTCATTTCCTATTTGATCTCACTAATTCAGCTGAACTGCTCCCCTGAAAGGATTACCGTCTGTATAGATGGGATTCAGGAGTTGTTTCAATTAGTTAAACAGGAGTCCAGCTTCAGAGTAGGGGAGATTAATCCGAACTCACGAGGGGGGATGGAAAAACTCATTTGGATGTGGTGAATCCCTGAGGTCTACAATGCAATTTGAGGGAAGCGACTAATATCAGATTTGGAAAGTAAGAAAAAAAAAAAAAAAAATGTTTTGGACTTTTGCCCCTTATTAAGTTCCTTTTTCGCTGCCAATCGTTTTGCAATATGTACGTTTTCTTTCTCTTCATTTTCAGACGACAGAAATCCTTTAAAATGGTTGGTAACTTCTGTCCAGAAATGATACCAACAAGCATTTAGTATTAATGAATGAAAGCTGTAGTACGATCAGGAACAAAGATTCAAACTTTCACATACAGCAATCCTCTGCTAATCGCATACAAATCGAAAAATCCTTGCCAGCCTATTCAGTCGTCGGAAATACAATTCAAGATAAATCAAATTACCAGTGTTCTGAGGCATAAGCAATTCAGCCACAGTAAAGAAAAGAAAAATCATACATACAATGCACACTCTACCCAGAAATAAATGGGACAGTTCTGTAACTCCCGTTGTATTGGGGGCTAGTCACGAAATTTAACTTGCCGTTTTCTTGTCTCGAAAACGCGACTTGGGATTTCCTATTTGTTCCATGTTTCCATTCTACGAGTTAAACTATGTCTAAATATTAAATTTTGTAAAATTTGGTGAGAAATTTAAACATTTATCTTGGGCAAGAATAATTCACTTGGCGAATTTCTCAGTTTTTTAGTCAGTATTTTATTTTCTCGGTCTGCACCAAGAATTGGCGAAATTGTTAGTTAATTGCAACCTATTTTTCTTTCCCTTTCAACATGCAGGAGCGGAAAAAAATGTGCATCGTTCATTCTTTCAAATAATTTCGATACAATATTTTAGCCAAAGCTGGTAACTGAAAATTATTTAAAGATCGCGTATTTGTATGCATTACATTTAAGGCATTTAACAAGTAATTCTGTTTTAGCACGCTATATTTATGTACAAATAGTAATGTCTACAAAGCGAGGTTTGCCTTCAAAGCTTTAAAATTTAATTTTCATTAACAATGAGTTATTTTGAAGCATGTTATCGTGCCCAGATTTAATTCATAAAAATTATTATTAAATCGGTGGACATCTTATATTATTCTCGGTGGACATCTTATATTATTCTCGGTGGACATCTTATATTATTAAGATATTCTTACGGATTCCATGCAAATCGCCATTAAAGCAGGAAATGAAAGTATTACAATTTATTATTGAAAAGTGAAGTATTTTTTGACAGAAATCTTCATTAGCTTGATAAAAATTGCTCAAACATATTGTTCACTTCCACGCCTATCGAATTAATTTCCACCTTTTCGTTGCCCTGCGTTGGCAGCACGCTTTTTGAGATTTGTCGTTCGTAGAATTCGGTCGCTAAAAGCGTAGCTGGCCAGCTACGCTTTGTACTGTTGTAATTCTTATTCTAAAGCTTATCTGTATTGCTGAATTATTACTAAATGTTTACGTGTGATTGTTATATTATTAAATGTATTCAGTTTGGTTTAAATAGACCGAGAGTCGTTGAATTTATTAAGGATATTTAAAATCGAAACTACGTCATCCATTTCGGCGCCATTCTAACACAGGAACGTAAACACATATATAAGAAATATAAAACAAAACATTATATTTTACAATTGTATAAAAAGCATCTGAGTATGTATTTTCGTTCC